TTACTGCTTATACGGGTTCTGAGAACAATAAGCTCTCTGTGAAGTTTCAAGTGGATGAGGATGCAAGGTTTTAGCAAAAGTTACTTTGAAAAGATATGTGGAATTGGAAACCCATAAATGCTCTGGGGAAAACCTTAAAAAGGTTTCCATTTGTTCTCACTGGCGAAATAACTGTTGAGGGTGGGAAAGAGGCATCAACAGGTATGGGTTTTTCAAAGCATTTCCAGAGAGACCTATTAAAACCATGAGCTTCAGCCACAACTTTTTCCACTGCAAAAGCAAAATTCCTTTTAATCTTCCTTGCAATTAGAGAAATTACGTTGACTTACTCTGTCTCCAACGTAACACTTTTCCTGCCGCACAGAACTGCGGGAAAGACAGAATACATGAAGTCCACAAAAAAGGGTGGACACGGGGAATTCCAGCATCTTAACATCCTCCTAAAAAACCACTGTTAGCTAAGCTTCGCAACATATAATGCTGTCATTCTGCATTTTAGCTAGCGGTATACACTGTATGTACAAATGACTTGCCCAGGTTCACACTAACACCTCTGCACAGTTTGCCACACAAGCTTAGGTTAGGATAGCAACTTAACTGAGTTCGAGATGATTTTGCCGATGCGTATTTCGGGTCCAGAAATTGATTTTGCGCGTTTGTAATTAGATTGTTACATTTGGCTTACAATCCAAAAGAAACTCACTCCCAAAATGGCACTGAACAGATTCAGCTAAATGTTTCTGAAGTGGCTTTAGCCAGTCAAAACTGTGTGCAATTCCGCCTCAGGTCTGTGGTTCAGTCACAAAGCACATCCAGAAATATTCTTGCCCGTACATTTTTGCAGTTACAGGATCAATTTGTGCTAGGCTAGATTTGGTGAGGAAACCCTTATTTGCAAGGGCACAGCCATACATACACAGACAATTCTTCATAAACTCGTAACGGATCAAAAAGACTAAAAAGCCGACACGTGAAAGACGCGGCACTCCAGGGGAGCTTTTTTTGTAACCACCGTGACAAGAGCAGCCCCGGAATCAGTCTTTTCCTGCTACTGCTGAATGAAGGTAGATGACCAACACAGAAAATGTTTAATTTGAAATGAGAGGCAAAAAGGCAGTAGATCACCCAGTAGTCTCAAATACTAACATCAGTATTAGATATTTTAGCAGCAAGAAAGGACGGCCAGGGAGGGCAGCAGTCACTGGTAGCTAACTCGAGTCTGAGCTTTTTCAGACAGAGCATATAAGAGAAGCCCCAGCTTCTTCAGCCAAGAACGGCAAGGTGACCTTCGCAGCTGCTCTGTGCAACTTGTACATTTTCTTGCTCTGTTCACATACCTTGTATAGTGCTCCCAAAAGTAACAGTACTGCGTGCTACGAGCAGTATCTTAAGGAGATTTTTTTCCCCCCTTGCTGCCAGGTGACAGTAGAAACTACCTTACAGAAAACGCTTCTTCACTAAGAAACCCTCGCGGACATCAGTCACACTATTACTGTGACTATCACCTCTACTTTTGTTTCAGTTTTTTGAATAACTTTGCCACTGCATTTGACCCTCAGTATTACAAAGAACAACGCCACAGGAGCAGGGAAAAAAAGTATTCATACTGAAAGACAGAAGAAAAGCCCAAGAGCAGCAAAACCAAACTTCCTACAAGTACTCTTTATTATGTTACGTCTTTTAAGCCTCAAGATTATAGTATATTGTGAAATAAACTAAGAAAGGCCTGCCAAAATACCGTAACTGGGTTCGAGCTGAGTCAGTTGACAGCAGGTCAACGATGTAGAACTCAAAGGTAAAAAAAAAAAAAAAAAAAAGGGAAAAGTCTGCCATTTTAATCTCCAAATCGATTTTAAGTCTCCAGCTCTCGCAACTGAAGATAACCTCCAAAACACAAATCAAATTGAATGCACACATGAATCGCTGCCCAAGCCTGCAGAAAGTTTGAAACAATTGTTCGCAAGTCCCAGCAGACTCATTATTCTCAGACATCCAGAGAGGACAATAAACGTTAACACTGTTAGCTACTTCTACTGATAAGCAAAGTACATAAAGAAGGAGAGAAGAAAGATCACAAAAAAAAAAAAAAAAAAAGGGACAAGTCTGCCATTTTAATCTCCAAATCGATTTTAAGTCTCCAGCTCTCGCAACTGAAGATAACCTCCAAAACACAAATCAAATTGAATGCACACATGAATCGCTGCCCAAGCCTGCAGAAAGTTTGAAACAATTGTTCGCAAGTCCCAGCAGACTCATTATTCTCAGACATCCAGAGAGGACAATAAACGTTAACACTGTTAGCTACTTCTACTGATAAGCAAAGTACATAAAGAAGGAGAGAAGAAAGATCACATCAGGCAGTTTGCACAGCTACAAGGCAGCATCTTCTGCAGCGTCAAAAACTGGAGCACGTAAAGGAAGTATATTAGGTTACTTTTCTTAGAGGAACCAAAAGCATGGAAGAAGCCCAGAGGAGAGGCTGATCACACAAAACACAGCACAAGTTCCTCTTTCCTAGAAAAGATGGAAATCAGCTGGATACTAAGCAAGCAGTCAAGGAAATTCTTTTCCTGCCTATTCTGCCTCATGGGTACGCGTTCAAGCAGACTCCACGGCCATGAAATATTCTCAGTCCAGACATATGAGAAAAAACTTGAAAGCTGGTGTTGGAAATGCTGCTTTTAACGACCGCAAGCCTTTCCTGATTCTGGGGCAGCAGGTCCTTCCTCCCAGTAGACTGAAGGGCATCAAAGAACCAGCAAGGATGATCAATCTTAAGAAAAACCCACAAAAGCACATTTAGCATATTCTCTCCCGAGAATAGTGTCTCAGGCCTGCACGGGCAGAGAAGTACCACCTTCTATCCCTGTAAATACAGGCAAACTTGGACTCTACTATCCTACAGGTTTGGAGTCTGACAATACTAAATCCTTTGACTTTTAAGTTTGTGATATTAAAAATAATGAAGGATTTACAAAACTTCAGAATAAAAAAAGGTACAGACGAACTGACATAAAGACTCAAACTAGAACTGAGTGACTTCACATATGCAGCAAGAGAAATAAAAAAATAATAGCTAAGCAACAACGACAAGTTGACACAGAGACTCAGGGAGGTGGTGCAAAATGGGAAAACCGTTCCAGATAGCAGGAACTGCGGGGAGAAGGCTTTTCCCTGAACCGCAGTGTTCATGTGAAAAGGCGGAGAGGAAACAGCTGTGATTTCAAGAGAAGTTGCATCCATTTGCACTGGAGTTAGATTTGGCTCACTGTCCGCAGATTAAACTTTGCCAATTCCACATTTCCCCCCGCCCCCCCCTCCAACAGCATGCTTCATCCGTTTTTGCTCTCCTCTGTACCACCAGGGACGGATACGCGTCCCCGCACCGCATCACCCTATGCCTTCGGCCTCCACCACCTAACCCCTCTTCCTCGAGGAGGAGCTGCCAGAGCAAACGCGACTCGCGCTTAGGCTCTGTCAGGGGAAAACTGGGGCAAGGCAGACAACCCCGAGAGCCCCCTCAGCCGTCCCGAGGCGAAACCTATTTCTAGTCGCTGCCTCCCTGGCATTGCTGGCAAACGCAAAACTGGAGAGCTCCTGGAGAAGCC